CGGCTGCCCAGGCCACGGGGTTGGCGGCCGCCCACAGCGTGCGCCTGGCTCGCGGGGACCTCTGCGCGCTCGCCGAGCGCCTGGACATCGTGGCTGGCTGTCGCCTGCTGCCGGACATACGAGGGGTACCGGGCATCGAGCCGGAGCAGGACCCGGGATCGAGAGCTTAGGCTGACACTGTGTGTCCTCCCCACCCTCCCACCCCGCACCCGACTCTGTCCGTGATCCCGGATCACCGCGGGCCCCCAATGCGTGGTAGCCTTTGGTTTGTGCCGACAGGAGCCGAGTCCTGGCATTTTCTTTGGTTTGGCCTGATTTTATTCGTAGCACAATTCTGGGATTCCCCAGCCCCAAAACTCGGTCCAGGTTTTGTGGACATCAACTCTGGTCTGTTTCCTCAATCACGCTTTACTCTGGGGCTAGGCTGGGCTTTGATTTCTCTAGTGAAACCTCCGTGGGTCTGGGCTGGGGCGCAGGGTGGGGGGTGGGGATCCCTCTAGTTTACATCCTCAAAGGATGCCACTGCTGACCCAAGGAGACCTTCCCACACACCCTGCAGACCACGGTGGCCAGATGTAGGAACCAAGCTAGGCCTTGGTCGGGGGCAGCGCCCCCTGGTGTTATGGTCGCTACAAGACATTCTGACCTCTGGCACTGAGGATCAAAGTTTCATTTTTGCTTGTTTGGGTCCTGACTTCACCTCCTTTGTCTTATCGCCTGGTTCCCTTTATCCCAGTCCCAAGCTGACTTGTAGGATGGAGAGGTAGGAGAGACACTCTGACGAGGCCATGAAGTCACTTCCGGGGTCTCCCCTTCTGAGCCGAGGGTGAGTGGAATGGGGATTTCTCCAGAGAAGGGTCCCAGAGGCACCTGCCTAGCTTGTGGAAGGTGAAGCTGGGCCCTGGAGAGGTGGTCGCAGCACTGACAGCCCTTGGAGCCGTCCCTAGGTGGTTCCCAACGCCTTGTTGGCAGCTCGCAGCCAGCTGTAACCTCAGCGCCAGTTTATCCAACGCCCCCTTTGGCCTTCATGGGTGCCTGCACGCTGATGCACATATCCCCCCCCCCAACACACATAAATAAAAATCTCAAGGTAAAGCTCTTAGAAAATCAGAGCCCAGGGATGGAGAGATGGCTCAGCACTTAAGAGCACTAACTGCTCTTCCAGAGGACTGGGGTTCAACTCCCAGCACCCAAATGGCAGCTCACAACTGCCTGTTACTCCAGTTCCAGGGGATCCAACACCCTCATTCATTCATGCAGGCAAAACACCAATGCACATAAAATTAAAAAAACTAAAATAGAAAAAAAAGAGAACCAGGGCCCTTCATGTTTGCCTTGATAATACACTTAGTATATTAGTATATTGTTAAACCACTTATTTTAGGGGTGCCTTGCTGGGGTACAATAGCAGCCCCTGCCCAGTAGGAGAGACAT